GTGACACACAGCTAAAGCTGATAAATAGAGTAATCATAAATGTATAAGCAAGTTATGAAACTGAACAATCTCTGTCAAATCTCTGTCATCATTGAATGGCAACAATGATGGGATAATTAATAAATGCAAATATAAAAGTTTTCATTAATCGAGAAACTGGAGACTTATGATTTCAATTAATGTAGTTTCTTACGGGGTATGAATGCTTCCAAGAATACTTATACCGGTATAGGCTGTTCGTACTGCCAGTTTTGTCCATATAAAACTGAGAGCTTTGATCATATAGTTAGAGACTTATAAGATTCATATATACTAGACAAAATCTAGAAATATTAATCCGGTAAGCCAGTCCTTTTTCTATGGTAAAGTAGATATCGACAAACACTGAATAGTGGAGCCAAAGTTATCACATTGTTTTCTCAGACGGAACCATTTTGTTAAGATGATAATGCAAGCCGTGATGACCCTTAGCTCTGTTCTATTTGCCCATATCAAACCCAAATAGTCACAGAACATTAAACTATATGTCTAATCCGGTTCGAACGAGAGTCAATACCTTTTTACCTAGTTTCAACATAGAAAAACCGTTTATTATTAAAATGATAACGCACACCATGATGGTCCGTCAGATAACCTGTCAATTAATTTAGCTATATTCTACTGTAAAGGGATTCGTAACGATATTAGAGATACTAGATAAGATAGTAGGATACAAATGAACTAACTTTTCGCCTGATGGTTATTTGATGGTATCTTTTCGTATTGCTTTATTTGTGTATGATATTTTTACATTGATGCCGATTGCTTTTCTTTTTAACATTATTAGTGCTGTTAGCTGGCAGTTATACTCTTGCTTATTAATATTGCTATTGCTTTTATTATTATTTACTATTGCTTGTTCTTTATTGCTGGGTGGCCAATTTATGTAGTAGACATAAGCATGCAGCGATAACTGAGTGATAAATCTTGATAAGTCTTGTTTAGTTATTTTGCTATTCACGACCATACATTTTTGTACTTCTGCTAATGATCAAAATTTATAAATATCAATGATCACATTTTAAGCTATTCCAAAAATTTTAATAGGTGCAATTAAAGAAATATCTTTTTTTTTAATATTTTCAAAGTGCTCTGATAACATGTATTTGGAAAAACTCAACAAGAAAGAAAATCATTTTCGGAGAGTTATTGGTTAGCTAATAAATAATACTAGATTTTAATTTGATTTTTAAATCTGTAGTTTTTTCTAATACTACCCTCTATACTATTCCAATTAGATTTCTTATCATGGGACATAAAATTTTAAGTAAAAAGAAATTTTTTTTTGTGAACCAACTGAAACTAATAAGCTTATGTACCTGAACCATAGCAAAATAATTACATTATTTTAAGAAAATATTTTCCCTACTTTTATATTTATCCAAAATAACAAGAAAAAGGACGTTATTTCTATAGCTAATAACTTTTTTTAAGATGATACCTTCACAACCTTCACACGTTATTTGAATAAAAACAAAAAAAACGGTACCGCATTTAAAACTTAATCAAACAAGCTAACTAAGCTGGCATAGGTTTATGTAGGCATTTCTCCCCTTAAGAAGCTTAATACGTTTAAATTATTTTTAGTATTAAATTAACTTAAATATGTTTCCCACCAGTGTAACATCCCATACACTAAGTGGAGACAAGTAACAGGAGCGGGATCGAGACCGAGACGGGGAGCATTTTGCCCGAGTTTGTCGTAAAATTTATGTAACGCAACTTATAAATTGTTTAAATTGAAGTCTACCATTTGAGAGATTCCCATGTGACTTCAGCCGAGATAAAACATAACAAATTATATGAAATTTACGAGTCGACTCAAGGAGGAGTAACGTTGCCATGCTAACAATTATGTACGGCCCGGGAGGCTCAGGGTCTAAGCACACAAAAATACGAGACAATCAAATAAATGAATAAATTTTGTTATGCAGGGGATAAGTGGGTGAGGTACTTGTTTGTGTGTAAATTTACAACTGTGTAGCAAAGTGTAGAGCAATAAAATGTTTTATGTCAGATTGACACTCTGACGAGGCTGCTGTCGCAAATGTACTGACTGCAAAACAATAATTCTCACACGTTTTAAATGAGCTCTTAAATACATTAGCATAAGCAAAGTGTACACAGGCTCTTCAAACAATAAGAATAAAAAGCAAAAACAAAAACAAAAACAAAAACAATTCATGAAACTACACGAGTATGGATAGGTACATGCATAAACAAGTGCACAAGTGAAATATAAATACATGCTCTCGTTTATTTGAGCAATAACAACAACTATACAATAACAGCAACAACACAAAGACACTAGTGACATATCGAAATACATTAAAGTTAAATTACACACAGTAACATTCCCAGTTGAGCGACAACGAGTAAACGAGTAAGGCAACACCTTTGCTCCCGCCCCCGTGTTGTAAAATATTTTAATGTTGTTGACATAGCTGCTACCACTGTTGCTATTAATGCTGTTTCGGGTGTTCATATGGTTGTTGCTATTGTTGACTGGTACTGTTTATTGTTAATGTTACTTTTTGCAATGTTATTGTTACCGTTCTCTGTTCTGTGTTCTCTGTTCTGTGTTCTCTGTTCTGTGTTCTCTGTTAATGATGATGAATTTCAATTTCATGTCAAAGTAATTTGTCACAATTGTACGCCAAAGTTTATGATTATTTTTCCAATGGATTTCAGCACAGTTTGCACATGCACCCAATATAAAAGGAATTCCGAATTCCGTATTCCGATGCGTTGTCAGATATAAATAATTGTTTTGCAAAGTATCTAATTATTTGATTGTTGCATTTGCCACATGATTTATTGTCGCTAATTGACAACGTGTTTTATGGAGTGAACTATTTCGAACTATTTTCTACAACATTCCTATCTGTATTTTGTTATTATATCCGATTGAGAAAAGTATGATGAGTTTATAGATTAGATCTATTGTTTTAGAATAAAATATAGAATAGAGTATAACAGAGTTCGAAAATCTCAGATCTTGTGGGCAAACTAATGCTGACTTACTCTAGTAGAACACCACACTGGGTCTTTCGAATGGAGGTGAGAATATCACTGAAAATGAATAAGTATTAGACAGAGAAAGAAACTCTCCGCACAAAATGTTATAAGAATAAACAGTTGAAAAATGAAGAAATAGAAACTCTTAGTACAATGCATAATTACCTGTTGCAGAAGACATAACTATTGAGAATATCTCTGGTTAAGGATATTTTAATATCAGATAGAAGTATTTACTCCCGACATAGTATTCGATTGTTAAGTGTTAATGTAACGATTAGTTACAGAAAATATAACTTGATATAGAAACTCTCAGCACAATAAGAATTACTAACTGCAAAAGACTTAACTAATGGGAATATCTCTGGTTGAGGATAATTTAATATCAGACAGAAGTATCAACTCCCGGCACAATATCCGATAGTTCAGTGTTACTGTAACTATCAGTTAAGGAAAAATATAACTGGAAGTTCTATTATTGTATTATTAAAGCTTTATCACACATTTTGCAATAGATTACCACTTACTATATAATTACTATAAAGTAACATAAGAGACATGTAAGTAATATAGGTATTTCACCAAATCTTGTCTGCAAATTTTACGTTGAAGAAACTGAGTCGGCAGAATACATACTCGAATGCATTAATGCACATGATTAACTAGAATCGCTATAAATACGACGAAAGAGCTTTGCAATACAAAATGTAACCAACATTTTTGAATTATTGAGAACAACGGGTCAAATAAAATTTCATTGGGTTACCTTTAACTACTTAGGAGATTATCACAGACAGTGGCGTCGCTAGGCGTCAGCAATGTCGGCGACCGCCGACGGCCTCGCGCCCTTTAGGGGTCTCGCAAAAAGTTACCGACTGTGGATTTTAAGCACTTAATAAATATTTTGAACAATTTGGTTTGATAATGGCATTAACCATATTCGAAATATTTCCGAATGTTTATATAGTAACCAGATTCATGTTCACAGTTCCAGTCAGTATAGCTTCGACGGAAGGAAGCTTCTCAAATTTAAAATTGATTAAGACGTACTAGAAAGGTATGATGATCCACAAGAGATTCTATAAACTGAAGCGAAAATAGCAGCTGGCGCAAATTATGATATAATTGATAACAAAAATATAATGATAATAAAAAAAATTGGGTGAAGCTAAAAGTAGGAAAATTCATTTATTTTAATTTGTGTTCATTTAATTTGATTAGCAATAAAACTTTCAAACATGCTTTTCACTAATAAAATGCAACTTATTTACTTTTACAACTGGGTTATAAAGGGGGCCTCACAATTCTAATGTCGCCGACGTCCAGAGTTGGTCTAGCTCCGCCACGGATCACAGATATAGATTAATAATGCTGTGATGATAGAAGCTGATACTCTAGTAAGAAAAAAAATCTTACCAGTAATCCAAAAAGTTAAATATTGAAGAAAAAATTAGATAATAACATATAAAAATAAATTACTGAACAAGTTCATATCTTCTATAAAGTGATCAAGTTAGAGGAGCGTTAACTATACTTTATATAGTACACTTAAGAAGCATATACTAACAATAACTTCTGATAAGAAAATATAGAGCTTAAAATCACGTTATTAAACTCAACTTTGTAAAAATAAATATATTGCGGTTTGCATAAATCTGGTATATAAACAACAATGACGAATAATTCATTTTAGTTTCGTTTCAACGCACGTTTTCAGTGCTAATTTTTTAGTACGAATTCTCCATTCGTCGATAATGGTTTGACGCGGAATTTAAAAATTAATTAAAATAAATTTTTAAATAAAAAAATATGGAATTTATTGGACATAATGTAAAAACGAAGGCTTATGTTTTCGAATGTGAATGTAAAAGAAATCGTGAATTAATTCAGAAGTTCTCAGAAAATTATATCAAAACACACTTAAGAGAAACTTTTAAAAAAGATATAAATATTTCAACACTACGTCTCTTTAACGACATTCTATACGAAAGTAATTACATACTTCACTTGTAAATTAAGAAATTTAATTAACCACAAAACCATACTGTGAAAACCGGCGACTATAAATATTTGCACATAAAAAAACAACAAAAAATAAATTATTCACAACAAAAAAACCTAGATGCAAAGTGCGCTGAGATAAGTTCGTTGAGTCATAGATTATATATGCGAAATACGTTTCAACTCAACAGCGGTATTTGGACATAAATATATATATATATTCATATATATATTCATATATATAAATATATGAAATGATGAGTGCTTATATATAAAATTTATTCTCTTAGTTTTTAGTGCATATCTGATAATAAATAAAATAAGAAATATATATATTATGAAGTATAAAAAAGCAAAGTTCTAATATTCCTTAAAGCAGATAAGAAAATCCATTGATTAAATTATTTACATTTTCGCATTTTGAGTAATATAAATTAATCAAATTGCATTATATTTTGAAATCGGATTAAGAGAAAAAAAATATATATACATATCTATAATAATTGCTAATTGATAAATCTATTGTTTTCTAATTGTTTTAAAGAATTGCTAAATAGCAGCTCTACATATGATCTTTGTAAATAATAATTGGTATCTACACATCTATATATGAACCATCATTAAGGCGTTGTATAAAATTCCTATATCAGAGATTACTTACAGACATCAATAGATATTAGATATAACAATTGACATAAAACTTGATTGTATATTAGTAATATAGCTAGATAAACACCGTAACATTAAGTGGTTTCAGTAGTTTCAGTGACATTCAGTACACATAATTTTAGATACAACCAAGTTTATTGACATATCAGATAAATTCGTTTTACTTGAAGATTGAATAGCGCTTTCTCAAAAGGATACTGTTCTTACAGTGAATGCTTAGGAGTTATAGATTTAAGGCGGTTCTTCAAGAATTTCCTGAAATCAGTCCACATTCACACTTGTAACAAGTGTCTACCGGAGCTTAAGAAGGAAACACTGGCACACCTGTTGTGTTTAAGTTAGGCTTATCAAGAACCAAGCCTAAATTTTTATTTCTTTAATTATATGCCTCTTTCTACCCATAAATACGAGGAAACTGGTATCAAAACAGTTTACATAACTAATTTAGAAGGCTCTGATTTCCATTCCACTCCATCTACATAGCCATTTTGTAAGCACTTAATGTTTTGTGGTGGTTTGTGGTTATATATGTTTATATGTATTTACATATATATATACATATATATATATATATATATATATATAATATATATATATATATATATATATATATAATATATATATATATATAATATATATATATAAATACGTTGATATTAATTTTTACAATACTTCTTTAATACCGACAATTTTATAATTTCAGTCTCTTCGAATAGCTTCATTAGCTATGCTAGTTTGCTCATTATTTTAGATTTCGAATGTTATTGCCAAGCGGATAATTTACTACTTGTGCTATATAATACAATAAATAGTAATAAAAATCTGAAGTATGTTACAAAGATAATTCTTACACACACATATCTTCCCTTCAAGTAAGGCAAATTTAAATACAGTACTTTAAACGGGCTAACCTAATTTTAAATCAATTTTCTAGAAATGATAACTTAAAATTCCAGAAAAAGATAGGACGTAAAAAATTAAACTTTCAATTAAATCGGGAGAAGGAGATGAAATCGCTTCGGCCACGCTTTAATTCTGATGAAGGGCATGCTAGGAGAGATATTTCCAAAATGATGTTTTTTAAAGACTACAAAACTGTGGAAAACAAAGCTGAGAGCAAGGTCAAAGCAACTCGTATCGTTCCAGAGTTTATAGCACCTAAATATGAAAGAACTAAAGTGGCAGACAAATACTTAACCCAAGAAAATATAAATTTTACTTTAATCGATAATTCCATTTTAGTGGAGTTCAGAAAATTAGGTATGCCTTTCAATTATTAAAATTTCACTTTACCATAATATAATGTCATCAATCTTATATAGGTCATTTAGAAGGAACAACCGCATTTGAAAGTTTTTTGACTCAATTGCATAATTTAGGAGTCCGTGTTTCTGTGCAACAGATGACAGCTAATATACTGGATAAACGTGATAAATGGTTTATGTAAGATATATTTATTTAACCAAGTTTTTAATTCACTAAATTTATATTGAAGGTACAAATTAAAATAATTAAAATTAAAAATATTTCAGCTATAGTGAAATTGGACACTTTGAAACTACTTCCACTATGGGTTGTTATATCTTCAATATAAATCCAGCACTGGCAATTGTCTTCAATCACATTAGCTTTAATAATCTCACGATGAGAGATGCTAGCATAAATGATATTGAGAGACTGAAAAACACATACATTAAAAAAAAAATTCCCCTATTAATTTTAAAAGACGGTAGCGCCGAGGAGGTAAAACGCACAATGAATGCTGGTAAATTGTTTCCGATTAGCAACTATCTATTTTATTAAAATTTTCCAATAAATATAGTCGAGAAGCTAGAATTTAAAAATTTAAAACAATTATATGTAACGGTTATGTCACATGGAGATGAAGGTGATATTATTTACACCAAAACTGATACTTATAATATTAAAGAAACGGTCCTTAATCCCTTACTCGCTAATGAAAGTTTAAAGGATGTGCAAAAAATTGTACTGGTAAATGCCTGTCGCGGTGATATTGATCCACGTTATGAAGATGATGATTTAGAATATGAAGAAACTAACACAGATGAAATAGATGAAAATCTGGTCACATTTTATAGCACACAAAAAGGTAAAATATATTCACTTAGGTATTTCAATGTTTATGTACTCCCATACACATACATATTACTTACATATAATATATAACACATCTATCTTATAGATTTCAATCGAAGAGAAATATAAAAAGTTCTATTATATTATTCTAGGTTATGTTTCTCTGTTACCAGCGGATGGTGCAGTTTTCATTAAAGAATTTTGTGAACATTTCGATATACCATTCAAGGAATCATCAATGGAAGAGATCGCTGAACGTATGGAAACAGTTTTACGAAAGAAAATGGAGTATGCCTAACAAAATTATGTTATATATTTTATTGTGTTATTGTTTAAATTTTATCATTTAACAGTTTCTGCGAGAAAGTTACAGACTATTGTGCAAAACCAGGTGTTCTACATAATATTAAAATGGAATTCAAAAATTTGAAGGGTTACAAAGGCCTTCATAAAAGAATTAGTCAAGTTATAGACAATGTTTCTTCTAAAAGTGATGATACTGTACCCGCAGAAGATACAAGGTTGATTAGATGTCAGCATTCTGACTGATTACTTATTTATAAATTAGTTTTTTTTAATAAATAATTTATTACACATACCTATTTTCAAATTATATTATTTTTATATATTTTTATTGCATTTTACACATTTCATTATGTTTTACCATATATATTTTTCTATAAGTTTCAACACGACGGGTTTAAAGTTGAAATCCTCTTATTTTGAATTACTTTACATTAGATATAATTAATTTCATTTCATCAAAAATTTTCATTTTAATTATGCATTAGTTTTTAAACATCACTTATTCTCTTCTTTAAATATCTCTCTGTACACGCTCACGACTGTCAGTCTAATAGACTTCTCACAGAATGGCATTTCCTTCGTCGGCTTAACACCTTCTATGCGCCTGATCACTTCCATGACGAAATTCAAAAGATCAGATGACAAGGGATCACCTTATCTGAAGACTCGCATGGTATCATAAGGTTCGGAGAAACTCGATCCTACCTTGATGGACCTGCGAATATTCCTCAACGTCATTTTGCAGAGTGTTATTAGCTTTGTAGGGATGCCCAGCTCAGACAATGCGGCGTAAACACGATCCCTTATGGGCCTATCAAAACAGACTTTATATTCAACAAAACGTTGGTGACTGTCGTTGCTATGTTCGTGGGCTTTTTTTAGGATTTGTCGTGGTGTGAATATCTAGGTTGGCACGTGGATCCAACTTTTCACACAATACAGTTGAAACCACCTTTTACGAGACCATGTAAATATAACCTATTGTAATAATACCGCAATAGTTATGCAGCTTTGTTGTGGTTTCAGTCTTAGAAAACTATTCCAATGCATGGTCTTACACCATGTAAACTCTTTGTGTTGCTGTACTTCTAAAAGTGAGCTCTACCTTTTTTATTGATATCTTAAAGTCAAGTACATTTTACTGGTAAAACTGCTTATTATTGCCATAAATTGTTCTACTTTCTTTCTTCTCGAATGAAACCCACAAAAAGATTTATTTTTTTAACATTGTTATAAGGATTAACAATTTAATCAAATATCTTTTCATTGCCTCCTCGAGGACACATAAATTCTAATATTCTGTTGCAAGTAAGTATTTCCTCATGTAACAACTCAGTTACGTTCCAGTTTAAATATGTTGTAGAGCTGCGGGGCACAACAAGTTGTTGTTATTAATGTTGTTGTTGTCGTATATAAATTTCTTAAGCAGTTCCATATTCCTTTTAATGTATATCCTGTGTGAAATTTGTTATTGTTGTTATTTGTTCGAGCAGGCATTTATATGAGTTCATTACGCGATTTCACATTTATTTAAGTTCGCACAATAACCTTAAGGGAACTCTTCCACTCCGACTTCGACTTCGACTTCGACAACGACTGCGGCAGCAAAGTAATTCGATAATTGTGGCATTAAGGAAAGGATATGGTATTTTGCGGCTTATAGTAGTTGCTTATGGTGTGTGGGAAGGTATGATTTTTTCCATTTATATTAATGGAGAATCAAGGCAATAAAGAAAACTAAGCTTAAATATAAATTCATATAAGTTGGTTAGGAAAATATATAGCTAGAATGATTAAAGTGATGGTGGAAATTAAATTGAATTACTTGGTTTGCATTAGAAAACATTGTGATTAATAGTAGTAAGAAATTGTAGTAGCAGAGATATATTAGATATAATTCACATAACGTTTATCTGATTAAATTCTTAAAATAGGAATACTATTACAGTATATTTTAACACTTCTCAGTTATTTTAAGCTGTAAATTAATGTTGCATATTAATAATAATTATTTGAATATACAATTTTATAAAATTATGTTCAGTGTTAATGCAATACCTTAGTTTTTGAATCATCTCATCAAATCTCTAAAATTTGAGCAGAAGTAGAGCCGCAACTCTCACGCTATCCAACCATAAACAAAATCAAAGCAGAGTAGTGCAAAAAGCAGCTGAGGTTAGAGAGTAACCAGTCCATAATATTATGGATTTGTATTTAAGAGTACCGAGAAATATAAGGAATTAAAATTGATATAAACTGACAATGGTCCTTCGCAGAAGAACAAACTTTGATCTCATTAAATGATGTCCAGAAACATATCTATAATGATTTTTTTACAATAGCAGAATACAAGTGAAAACCTATAATATAGTAGGCTGCAAAAAGTTCAAACTAAAATGGCTAAACAAATATTTATTCATAACAAAAATTTTTATTTTGTTTTCTAAGGTAAATCATAGAGCCACCTTAGACGAAGGAATGTTCTCACATTCCATGCGTTTGGGGAAACTTACTAAAGTCAGTCTTCTTTTTCCTTGCTGGATCAAACGTAAGTTAGTATCTAAATCACTATTACTGAATGGTGTGTACCACCATTTAGATGGTCTACTGTAATAAGAGCTCCGTTCAATTCTGTTAATAAGTTATTCAGATGATTCAATAAAAGTATACTTTGAAGCCCAGCATATCTTTCTGATAGAATATACATATATTACATTTGTTTTGAGAGAGTGCAATTTGGATTTTAGTATGCTTTTCTACAGAATACCACAACTTCAGCACTCTTTTTCAGCACAACTTCTAGTTTTTACTCAAGTATCTCCTGGGTAGCTTGTATATATTCGTTCAGAATCTTACTAATTACAAAATGGCGTAGTCATTTGTACCCATCTTTAATGTACGTTTCACAATTAAACCTCCAAATCTTGGCTTGTGCACCGAGGCGTTAAAAATCTTGTAGGTTTCATGCTAAAGTCCATCAAGTATTATTAATATTTGGTTTTCGAAAAGTGTACCTTATCCAACACACTTGCATTTTATATTTTTTTGTTGCTATAGTTTGGTTTGTTTAAACCCACGAATCGATTGCATATTCTCTGAGATTACAAGATGCGCAGAATCCTGTGCAAACGTTGGTTTATAAAGACTTGAGTTTTTGACTGGAATGCATATTTATAAATTTGCGAAGTTTTATAAAGTTTTTATGAATATCTAAAACTTTTTTTAGAATGAACGAAAGTACCTCTAACCTTATTGATTGTGGTGATGTATTTCGGTGCTCTGCTTATATATGTTATAAAGCTTCCGAGGTATGTTATTGATTGCATCTCCTTAACTCCACGTTACTTGACGAATGGAAGAAGATTTAACCTCGTATCTGGTGCTTAGGGCCCAGGTTTTGCCGTTAATAATAACTAATCTGAGTTTACGTACGATTTGAAGGGTAGAAAAAGTATAGCAAAGTAGACATGCGTCATGAGTATATGCCAAATCTTCCGGTCGCGCAAATGGTGTACATGGTTCATATCTAATGATACTTTCATCATTGTATTGTTATTTCATTCGGTTGTATAAACAAAATATATCTTTTAAGATAAATTTTTTCTTGCCGATAATGGCGTGTCTTTTTATGACGAAAGAAACTATTTAAAAGTTAAACCGATTCGAATAGCAAAGAAAAGGAACTTGAGCATTGAAAGTTTGTGCAGCCTTGGCTTCTTGTGGATAAACACGATTAGTCATCGCTTCTAATTTGACAGGCACGAGTTCTAAGCCTGGCGCTTGTAGTCCAAACAAAATTATATACGGACTATAAACTAATTAAATAAAATTCGATTATTTCCAAAGACCACTGATGAAGAGTACTTGGCAATACTCGAAACAGCGTTGTATGGTCAACCAAATTTCAATAAAATTAAATAAAAAAATTTTTGTCTTTGCCTTTCTTTGCTATTCGAATCGGTCTAACTTTTAAAATATATCTTATTTACGAGAAAACAAGTTGCTAGGAATATAAGTCAGCAGATTTATCAACTAAACGTTATATTTGCAGAATTTAAAACAAATTTTACATCCTGGACCTCATGAAATTTTGAAACTTTTGTTGTCAGTATTAAATTCTCTAATGCATAAATAAATTAAAACAGTTTGGCTTCAAAGTACAATATAAACCATAAAACTATTCTAAAAACAAAGCATTTCCCATGGTTTGGTTTTTGTTATAAACTATTTAGCAGTTATTTTACTTTATTTTTATTTATTTTAATTTTGTTTTCCACTCTTTACTTTTAGTATTTTAAAATATAAAATAAGTTTAGACATTTAGCAAAATGAAACTATGCATATTTCTTATCCACTTATTCAAATCCTTGCTCATAAAAAACCTTTCCACCTGTTTAGTTTAAGTCAACCGCAGAGTAAAATTATATAAAAAGTATATATAGAGAGATATATGCATAAAAAGGAATCACTTTTTTTACGAGTACTGCCATTAACATTTCCGGAACAATGCCATTAGCTTCTCTACGTTCGCTACGTTCGCTACGTTTGTTACGTTGGCTTCCATGTGCAATTCATCAACGCCGGTAACATTTCAAAACCGTATCCGTATCCGCATCATTCACACTATGTTTACCTTTGGCTACAGTCTGCCACTTTATACTTGCCTTCCCTATTTAATGTAATGCTTTTTACACTGTAAGCTCAATTTCAGAAAAAAGAATAATAAAATTAGTTTTTTTTTGGTTTTTCTAGAAAATAGCAGAAACTTTTAGTTTAAATAAAAAAATAAAAAAAAAAAATGGAAAAGAAATCACAAATGTTACCGCAACGCGCAGCTTGCAATAAACAAACCATGGAAAATCCATTTTTTACTCGACCATTAATAAAAACAACGTAACGCTACGTGTAATGTTGTAATGTACGTAGTTCGGTTACGTTATGCAAATGCAAGCGTAAATACAAAAACCGAAACCAACAACGGCGGAATAAGTAAAATAGCTTCACAATATGTCTGGGAAAGTTGGAAAATAGAAAAATTGTTAAGGAAATGCTATTGAGTTTTATGCAAAAATCTTTAGAGTAAACTTTTATAAACGCGTCCCAAAAAAAAATTCGTTAAAAAAGTTATATTTTCACGCTGAACGCAATTTGCAACTTCAATTTTCTTGCAAAAGAAAATATAAAGAAAGTATGAAGATTTATGCATCCACGTAATACTCGTATACAAAACTATAAAATTGATATGTTGCCAAACCGTGTAGACCAGTGTACTGGTCCCGGTGTGCTGCCACAGCGCATTTCCAATTCCATGTACTTTTTGGTAAGCTTAAATATTTTTAAAAATATAACTAAGCAATTTAGAAAAATCAATTTGGAAACAAAATACAATTTGGAAACAAAATACAATTTGGAAACAAAATACAATTTGTCTATGTATTATATTTACATACATTGTGACCGAAAAGTTTCCGGAAATTTTAAATAAAACGCAAAATTCTTAATCTTCATCAATATTTATTTTATCTCCTTCAAAATATGCTCCATTAGAAGCGATACACAAATGCCAACGTTTCTTCCAATCATCAAAACATTTTTATAGGCGCTTTCCGGTATGGCTTTGAGTTCCCTCTGCGAATTCTGTTTTACGTCTTCTATGGATTCAAAACGCGTTCCTCTGAGTGGTAATTTGAGGTTGGGAAACAGGAAAAAGTCACACGGTGCAAGATCAGGTGAATACGGTGGCTGTTCGATGGTATTTATTGAATGTTTGGCCTTAAAATCGTTGATAATGTTGAACAAATTGAGGTGAATCGGAACAAGCCGGGCGTTGACACGTCGCATACACAAATTGTCCACCAAAATCAAACGAGCCATCTCACGACCGATGCCTAGCTCTCGTGCTATCTCTCTAACACTCACATGAGGATTTTTGAACACGATTTCCTTTGCCTTTTCAATGTTTTCGTCGGTGGTAGAGGTCGAAGGTCGTCCAGAACGCGGCATGTCTTCGACGGTCGTACGACAGTCCTGAAAGGCTTTGTACCACTCATAAACTTGAGTTTTCGATAAAACTGATTCCCCATAAGCCTTTTGTAGCATTCGCAACGATTCTGCACACGAAATTTCGTTCGAAAAACAAAATTTGATGCAAACTCTTTGTTCAATATTTTTTTCCATTGTTTTTTTCGCAACGCACTACTGAGGTGAACTGGTTTCAACAGCTGCCGTAAACGAACTGTCCGACAGATCGCGCTCATTTTTGGCATTAGTAATTAAGGACAGTGCTGCCCAAACTACATAAACTTAAAATATCGAAAAATATACAGCGCGCGAATTTTAAATGAGAACCTCCGAAAACCTTTCGGTCACAATGTATTTAATATAAACATAGTTTTCAACATAGTTTTCTATGAATATATAAATAAGATAAGAAGATAATAATGAACGGGGTACTAGCTCCCACTTGAGCAGAGCACTGCGACCATGATTGATCTTGTGTGCTACAACAGACCTTAACCGAACAGAAGACATTCCGCATTACGAATAAAGGTTAAAACGTCGGCCATTGAGGACCTCCTAATGTCGAAAGGTGAGAGCAGCTTCCCACTCAGTGACCTCCTTCTGGCCCAGATCAAGGCTGGGCAATCACATAAAATGTGGCTGGATGTCTCCTCTGCTTCTAAGCAGAGTCTACACTCTATCTCTTTGTACAGACCCATTTTGTAGAGGTGGTGACGTGCTCCGTGGTGATCCGTTAGAAATCCTGTTCTGCTGAAGAAGGATATCTTATTATAACTATAGGTATGAACCAGCTCTTTACATATATACATATACAGTAACACTTCAATTTGCGTCGCTCCGATTTACGTTGATTCGATGTATATACACTAAAACCCCGATTTGAGTCGCTGCGATTTGTGATATAGTAGTACTTTTATTGGGTCTATACAAGATGAAAAATGCATCACATTGAATCAAGAAAAATATAATTCATTGGTTATGCTCTGCAAGATCGGTAGTGCGAAAGAGGAAAAAGAAAAAGGTTTTGAATTGTGAAATCTTGTTTTGACATAAAATGAATAATAAATGTGATATCAAGTCATTTTTATTGTAACATATATATTTAATATATTTAGTTAACAATTTGATATATAGCATTATTCAATCTCAATGATAGTTATCGGTTATTATTGAACTAATTGGTCATCGCTTCTAATTTCACAAGCAACAGTTTTAAGCCTGGCACTTGCAGCCCAAACAAAGTATATACGGACTATGAACTAATTAAAAAGAATTTTGAATACGTAACTTTGAATTTGGATAATTTATTCACTATGAGGGCATTAATTATTTTGTTAATTATACTTAATTCAAAAGAAGAATTCCTAAAGTTGGTATTATTATAAATATTATAAGAAATATATATAGCTTTATATATGTAGTAATATAATGATCGTTTCGTATACTTAGGACAAGTGCAGCAAATTACAGTACCTGAAATGAAAGAAAATTAAATTAATAAATATATTTTTTTATAATTTTTGTTTTTTTTTTAAATACTATATATATACAGTAAATAATTAAAATAATTCCATCATACAAAATATGATAAAAAATAGTATAAGATCTTATGGAATAAATGCTTTGTGTTTTTATTCTAATCGAGATGTGTCTAAAAATTTAACAAAAACAATCTTTTATATATATATACTCGTGTTCAGCCATACTCATGTTTTAAATGGCTAATTAGATCACAATTGTAGAGTGGAATGCTTAAATTGAATGACTTTGGATACTTTTCGTTGTCCATTTAAATTCCAGCACCATCTGTAACTCAGTAAAGGATCTTATATATTTATTTTCTGATATTACATTTTTTTAAATTTATTTATTTCACTTAAATAAATTATTACGCAGAAGCTCTTTTAATTAAAAATGTGACTAATAATGAATTAAGTTGTATATTAAATTAAAATCAAAATATAAGAAAACTAATAAATTCGCAATGTAATGTAATGTTTCCAATATAAGACAATCCTTCGATCAAATAGTACCTTTCAGCAGTGGTCATAAGCTGACCACTGTGGTTTTTAGGGGAACTCTTCTAGTCCTCATATGAATAACGCTTATCCGTGGTACCACAATAATTAGATCCCACTCCAACCTAACCTTATCTATATCAAGAATTTTTTTATGTAAAAAAGTTTTAATGATGTAAGCTGGTTATTTTTCTCTTTTTTTTTTGACAAATCCCACATAACTTAAAATTTATAATGGAACTCTGATTGATTTAAATGTTACATTTTATTTATGTGATCTAATGATCAGCTTGTAAATATTAGAATTTTGATGAAAAGTTATAATTGGTATAAATTATAAGTTATTAAAAAATTTAATAGAGAATATATTATATTTATTTAGTATGTATTTTAAATTATTTTATTACAGTGTAATTTTAAAAATTTTAGTAAATAAAATCATATATAAATATAAACATTTAAGTTGCCTCAAAAAAACTATTTCTACTTCTATCACAGGTTTTTTTAAACACATTTTCTATTTATATATTTTTCCACATTTGTTTTAGTAACTTAAGTCAAGTCACTTAAGAACTCTTCTCAGTCTAGAGCACATCTTTGAAATAACAAACTTCAAATTGCAGAAATAAAGTTGCTTAACAACAACAAACACTAAACAACAACAAGCTCGTATGCATGCACTTTGAAGTAGAATTGCATTGTATTTGTATGTGCGTGGATGTGACCATGTTAATGTGGGCCAACTTAGCTGCTAACTTCACATACAGAGTCACACACACTCACATACAAATACGCAAATAACAGTTAAGTTGATGTAACCACTTGTGTGACACAAAATGTTGCTTTCTAAGTTTCCACTCTTATGTTTCTACTCTACGTGCTTCCATTTCCACTTGAGTTCTTGGTTTAGTAAATTTGCTTTGTTTTAATGTTTATGCGAATTTTTTGAGTGTTTTTCAAAGCAAATATAACAAATACAACAAATGCAAAAAATACAACAAATATGTAAATATATTTAAAAATATTTAAAAACACGAAAAACATAAAAATTTTGCTAGAGTTTTATTTAGGAGAGTATCTTGACTTAGGACAACAGAGCTTAGAGAAAATATCCAGGAAAATATTTTTTATGAATATTTAACAAACCACAGCTATAAGACAGTAGCTGTTCTGAGAGACCAACTATAAGATAGTAGCTGATCTGCCAGACAAGCTATAAGACAGTAGCTGTTCTCACAGACCAGCTATAAGACAGTAGCTGTTCTCACAGACCAGCTATAAGACAGTAGCTGTTCTCACAGACCAGCTAAAAGACAGTAGCTGTTCTCACAGACCAGCTATAAGACAGTAGCTGTTCTGAGAGACCAGCTACAAGACAGTAGCTGTTCTCACAGGCCAGCTATATGACAGCAGCTGTCCTCACAGGCCAGCTATATGACAGTAGCTGTTCTCACAGGACACCTATATGACAGTAGCTGTTCTCACAAGCCAGCTATATGACAGTAACTATTCTGAGAGACCAACTATAAGATAGTAGCTGTTCTCATACACCAGCTATAAGACAGTAGCTTTTCCCACAGACCAGTTATAAGACAATAGCTGTTCTCACAGACCCGCTGTAAGACAGTAGCTGTTCTTACAGACCAGCTATAAGAAAGTAGCTGCTCTGAGAGACTAACTATAATTCAGTAACTGTTGAGTAATTTTCAAAAATATATTATTTCATACACCAGAAGTATCAATAAAGAACTAGTGTTGAGTTAGGCCCATGGCATAAGAAATATACCTATTATATATAACTCACTATTCCTGACTATAGAGCGCGTAATGTATTTGTAATTACTTTTTAAATTCAATAACGTATTGTTAATTGCTCTTTATAAAACCAAATTAAATAAATAAACTAAAATCCTTCAAACAAATGCAACATATACACTTACTGGAAGTTTTTTGACAGGATTTCACAAGCTTGGTTTTTGATAAGGTTTTGACAGTTTCTAATATTTGACAGTTACTTTCTGACTAAAAAAACAAATTTAAAACAAATTTGAATTAGCAAAAACACAAGTAATAGTATCTTTTTAATTTAATGAAATAAAAATTTCATACATGGATGAGGATTTTTACTAACAGTGAAAGCAAGAAACTACTAAATACTTTCACTTAATTTTCATATGACAAGAAATATTAGAAGATGAAGTATTAGAAACCAGCTGCCCTCCAAACTTCAAACGCAGTAGAATTACATTTTTGTTCATTTCGGTCATCTGGCTGAGTTACTTTACCATTTTCGTCAAACGCCAGCTTATGATAATGAATTCCGAAACCAGTCTTAATGATATATCCATTATCCAAAATAACTTTAGCCTCCACATTTTCATCTGTACACTTTATTCCCATCCCAATGCCTCGTTTAAGCATGCTATTCTTCACTTTAATCAGTGCTCGTTTCTGTGTTGCCTCCGGCTTAGGATCATAAGTAGTAACAAACCGTATATATTTTAAATGTGGACATGAATCTGTAAGCATAATAATGATATCTGTTAAGTTTTTGTAATGCTTGCTCTCATTCATTTCAGGCTCATCAATTTCCACTTCAGTGATTTTCGATCGCAAATAGGGTTGAAACATATCATTGTAACCAGCACCAACAGAATCGTCCATGAAGAGTTTGGTTCTAATTCGTTTTGCAGGAGCAAATTTTTTATCTATAAAAGCTTTTACAACTTCAATGCGTTCGACATAATTTTTTGTTAATTGCATTAGTTCTCTGGATTTATAGCCTTGCGCAGTCTGCTTTTGCATCAGTTTAAACACTAGGTGCTCATAGATTGATAAAGCTTCGAATTTCCGTCCTTCTCCGTCAGATTTTACAGCTTTATTTAATAATTTGTTTGCCATATTGTAGTTCAGTGTGAGAAAAATTTTGAAACTAAATCTAAAAAAATTTTAATAAAATTAAATTTCTTTTTTTTTTCATTTAAGGAAATAAAAAAATTTTACTTCAAAGGTAAATAGATTTTATTTTATAGAAATTTTTTTAAATTGCGATCAGCTGTTTTTTTTGTAACGTTGTTGTTGTTGTGGTTTAAATTAAAGCTATTGCGCACTTTAACTCTTTTGTGTCTGGGAGGGCTTATATGTTACCTACCCCACTCTAGGCTTTAACTAAGCAGGAATTCATATCGTTTATTTAACTTTTAATTGATGACGCACCGTAAGTCAGCATAGCTTGCTGTGGGTCTTGAGGTGAATTTGATGTTTGTTAGAGCGGGGTTGGGCAGCGTATCAACTTTTTTGAATAATTTTCGTGCTCTGTCCCTGATATATTTTTTAACTGACTCGATCTTCAGATCTCTGTGTATGTTTGTTATTCTAATATACCATGGAATCTTAAATAGACTTCTTATAGCCAGATTTTTTCCTATCTGTGATTGCTTAATGGCAGTATTTGAGGCTTTGGTGTATGTAACACATCCGTACAGTAGTGCTGGCCCAATTATATGAGTATATGTATAGTGACTTTCTATTTTTGAGGTTCAAGTGATAATTATTATTAAACAGAAAATTTGTTTTAAAATATTATTTCATATTAATATTTTTGAAAAACTAATATTTTGAGTACAAAAATTTGTTACTTTCCCCTAGGTAAATTGTTAAGAATTATCATTTTTATAATTAAGTGAAAGGCATTTAAGTGAAAATAATTGAAAGGCACTGAATTCTATTATAAAAATCAAAAAATATAAAATATATGAAAAAGTAATAAATATATTATTTCATAAACGGGTTTTTCGAATAATAGTGGACTGCAACAACAAAAATTTATTTTATATTATTTTTAATTAATTGTATTTCTGGCTGTCCATACAGCAGTTTCGAGTTTGCCAAATACACATCAACAGTGGTTTTGGAAATAATTGTATTTAATTATTCGTAAATAATTTTTTTAAGACTGCAAGTAGCAGGAATTGAACTCGTGCCCTGCCAAATTTGGAGCTTATAGTCAGCACATATTTTTCTGGAGTTTTGTTAATTAGCTGTGAAAGTTTTTTATTAACAAATGCAATTGCTGTGTTTATAGTAGAACGAAATCATAAACCAGCTGTAGAATAATTTAAATAATTTATTTAATTTTTTTATTTTTAATTGTTAAATTTCATAATATTATCATTGTATGAAAAATTATTAAGAATCCTTTTATTCATTATACTTCGAACTTGTATGGCTTCACTGCATTTAACTTATTTCGACAGAAACTATAATATAAATATATATAGCAATTAACCTATTTTCACAGAAACTACAATATAGATATATATAGCAATTGGTTATATATTTATTGATACTTTAGCTTACAATTTTAACTTAACATTTAATTTATTTATCAATGAACTTCAGTGGCTTTTATTTTCAATTCTTAACGTTGTCATTTAAGCTGCCATTAATAATTATTATTGCGATTCCATAATGGTATTTTATATGATAGCTGATCGAATTATGTACAAATAAAAACGTTTTATTACGAGCATTCCTTTTATATTGTCGCCACATGATGTATAGCATGCAGTGAAGTATTATTGCCAATAATAAAAAACAAATTAAATTGTTATAATACAATTTTTCTGCAGTTGTATTTTTAAGAACACTGAAGACCAACACAAAGTGTCCTTCCTCCCGTATGTATTACTGCAGTATACTTTAATTTATTACTTTAACATGTATCTTCAGCAGTAAATTCATCGTACATAAAATTTGTAGATGAACATAAAAGTCAGACGAAAGTAGGTACACCGCGGCGTATGAGCGACATTTAAGTACGTACAATAATTTTTTTTTACTTGCTTGCGACTATCGTATTTGTCTTCATATCTATACTATATAGATATAAAAATATATAAAAATACAAACATATATAAAATTATATATTATTTGAGAATCATTTTTTTTTTTACGTTAGCTTTATTTTTGCTATGAATTTTTTATAAGGACTTTTGCTATGCTGACGTCAGGTTGACCAGTACGAGTGACCGTGTTAATCGCGATTCCAATTTATTGTATAAAATCAAATTTTAATCGTTTTACATTTATCATGTGTAAGATTATATTACTTTATTTATATAAAAATTCAATTTTTATTTATTAAAAAAAATTTTTTTTTTCATGTTTTTGTTGGAAAAATATACATGCTTGTGTGAATATAAATTTCCGCGGTCCTCAAATTTTACCAAGTATTTATGTATTTAAAAATTTTTTCCATTATTGAAAACTTTTTTATTATATAAAATTTTTTATTTTCTTTAAATCATTGATTTTACAGTCTTAATTTGTGTTTTACAAAAGCAAAGTTTTTTGTATGTAGAATTTTTTCACAATATTTACTAATTTTTATTGCAAACAATTTCATTTATCCAAAATTTATACATATAGATATATGTCAATTTAAGTTGAGTAAAATGGAGTAAACTGTCAGCAAAATGTTTATATTGTTTTGGTTAAAAATTTATCCAAAAATTTCGTTTTGATTTTTAAAAAATGTTGAATATTTTTTTTTATACATATAAGTATCTAACAGGTGTGTGAAGGCTTTGTTTTTCGCAGATTAAAAATTCCAATATTTCTATACAAATATTTATTTCAGTGATTTAATAAAATATTTTTTTCTTCTCATAATTAAAAAATCTTACAAATGCTTGAGGTAATTTACTAAACAACTATATAACCTTAAAAGTAATACTGGCATAATTATTCATCTGTCTTGATTAAAATTTCGATTCCTGGCACTTGCAGTCTCCAACAAAAAAAAACAAAAAAAAAAATTATTTACAAATAATTAAATACAAGAATTATTTCCAAGACACTGATGATGGGTATTTGGCAATACTCGAAACAGCTATACGGTCAGCCAAAAATTCAATTAATTAAACTAATATAAAACTAAGTTTTTGTTGTTGTAGTTCACTACTGTTCGAAAAAACCTCTTTAAAATTCAAGCAAATGGTAGTATGTTATTGAATCTATGAAGTTAAAGTAAGTTGGTGAACCTGCCTTCGTTTCTATGAAGGATTTTTCATAATGTTTAACAAGTTTTTTTGTTTATAATTTCATTTATTGAACAAAATGGATTAAAGTGTCAGTGGAAAGTTTTGCCTCTACGATATACATTGACGGCTTCAACCTTCAAACACCGCTTCAGGTACCTTTTTCACTGGAGCATCGTGATCCATTCTTACGGCATGACCATGCCAACGAAGCCGCTTATAATTAATTATATCAATGTTGTGATAAAACTCGTACAGCTCGTGGTTCATTCAGATTTGAAGAGAATCAAAGATCTTACAAAGAACTTTTCATCCTAAAACATCCAATACAGCTTTATGATTCTATGATCGCGTGCTTAGTTCTGCATCATACAATAGCCGAATACAGAAAATATTCCGAAGATAGAATAAAGGACCTAGAGAACGTAAGTTTGTCTGTGTAGAGAAAGCTCTCCGCCTTTTGGTTTCTAGGTTTACGTTAGAATATTTATCTCAACCTATTGTGTGGCAACTTTATATTTAAAGTATAAACAAATTAAATATTTATAAAAAATGTTGATATATTTTTACTCATTTCGTTTATATATATAAGAGTTATTGAAAATTCGATTTTGTATAATTTAACAGTGATTTTTGAGGACTGAAATAGGTTTAAAAACAAAACTAATTTCGACAATTTTTTAAATTGTTTCATTGTAGACAGATAGTGATGAAAAGCAAAAAAAAAATTATTATTTTATTATTATTATTATTATATTATTTTTGTATAAAGAAAGGGTGTTGCAGTAAGCGGAATATCACGAAACTTTAGGAACATTCGTGGTATAGTACAAGTATTTAGAATACAAAATTTAATTTTTCTAGCTTTCATAGTTTGTAATAAATTCAAAAAAATGAAAAACTGGACCTATTTGAGCCCCAAACTGGAAAGGTACTGGGAAGCCAATTGACTAAACATTCATTTAAAAATAAACTTATCTTAAAAATTAATAATATAATTTGTTATTACATATAACGTATATATATATTTACATAAATTTATAATCATATAATACATAATTTGTTAAACAAGTTATTTGTTTGTCCTTTATTGTGTACTTCTCTTGTATGTAATTTTTTTAATAATAATAATATTTCTTCTGAAAAATAATACATATTTCAATACAAGAAAACATCTACGAAATTCTTTTTCTGAATAATAAATATTTTCCACAATTACGGTATGTAGTCATAACCTTAACATTTATATTAACACAACTCTTTGTCTATTTTAATAAATTTACAAACAAAACATAAACTAGGTTAGATCGTCTCTATAAACAAAATAAAAAAAATCACAAAAAGTTATAATTTAAAAAAACAATTGAAAATAAACATAAAAACGTATACTATCCGAAATAAAAATCTACTGCCCTTTTTGGCCAACACATGCCAACAGTATATGCACACAGACACAAACACACAACACTACACAACTGTGCAATGTAAAAAATAGTGCAGTTGATTGCTACTGGGGAAGTTCACAAGCATAAATCGATGCGTCTTAGCGTAGTTTGCAACAAAAGTTTTACGTCACTTCTTTATAAAGTTGAGCCATTTTGCAGTAGTTATTGTAGTTGTTGTTGCTACTTTTGTTTGTTCGTTTTTTTTTGTTGCTATTTCTGTTGAAGGTACCGAAATGCGGAATAAGTAGAAGAGACCGAATGTGATGTCGGCAATGTGTATGTGTTAGTGTGTTTATGATTTACCGCTTACGTTAAGTTTGCCTTCATTAGATTTTGTGCATAGAAAATATTTTTGCATATTACGTTTAGACTTTTTGACTTGTTTATTGCGAATAACTATGAAGATGTAAGACATAAATATGTAACATATCTAAAGCAAACAGAATAGAAGAAGTACA